TCTTTTAAATGTTGCATCCATTCTGCACGAAATTAATTTTACTAACATTGACAAGATCTGTTTTTACTAAATTTTGCTTAATTCTTCCTTGAAGCAACATGATGCTTTTTAGAATAATGCTTTTTTATAATCAACGCATCAATGTTGAAATTGTTTGCATGTTGTGTAGTATTAATTCATAGTATATTATGAATTTTTTATATATTTATTTATATATTTATAAAGATAAAATAAAATATTATTGAAAATATAAATTCAAATTAATTTGCAATAATGTTTATCCACACATTTTATCTACGTTTATTTTTTTTATGTACATTCAAACTTTATTTGAACTATTTACATACATAATAGCTGTACTTTAGTTAATTTAATATCCAGTCCTAATGCAATAGAAATTTTAGCCTTTAGACCTTCGAAGTAGCACTCCTTGTATCAAAAATCGACCTTGACTGTCAGCAGTCGTGTTCACAGGAGCAGCCATTATTGCTGGAGGAGCTGTTAGAGCAGGAGAAACGGGAACAAGAAAAACAGCAACAACAGCAGCAGCAACAACAGCAGCAGCAGCAGCAGCAACAGACCGAAAATGTTACTGGAGGAAATCTTTTGAGTGACAGCGATTTTGAAAAATTCAAAGCTGATGTTTTGGGTACTACGTCACCTCCTCAGGGTATGATGCCTGTGATAAGACCACCTTGTACAGCGAGATCACCTTCCACATCTAACACTAACTGGCAGCAAAGTGGCATAGCTACTGATGGGGTGCTAAAGCTAGCAGCGGCGCAAGTGGGATCAAGACAACCAATTGCCACACAGACTCCACCTGAACGTTAGTAGTCTTCTATTAATTATTTTATTGGATAGTTATTTAATGTAGTTGAATATCAATTAAGGGGGCATATACCTTTCTCGACTGCAAAAAATCGATTTTTTTTATTACATATTTTGAAAGATTAACATTTCAAGAATGTATATCCGAAGCTGTTAGAAGATATTTGAGAAATTGTCGAAATTACAGCACTTTATACTGACCGCCGTCTCGGCGTCCTATAAGCCGTTACGGAGGAGTGCGCAGCGCAGGTAGTAGCGTCGGGCCATTATACAACTGAGCCCTTCATAGTAATTCAAATAAAACTTTGTCTTTATATAATAGGTACATAATTTTTTCAACCGATGGTACTTAGTGTTTTTCTGAGTCATTTTTAGATTATATATTCAGTTCTTTGACATATGTTTTGTTGAACGCACGTGTCATAATGAGTGTAGCAGAAAAAAGTAGGCGGAATTGAAACGAAGCGGTGCATTTCGCAAAGATTGGGCGCTAAAATGTCTAAATGGGTTTTTGAAAGCGAAATCGAGACAATCGTTAATGCTACTAAGAAATTAAAGTTGGTATCGTTGTCTGATGTGCCGGAGAGTGACACTATAAATTACCGAATTCTAAACTTCAATTCTGTTTTTAATGAAATTTTATAAGTTGTAAAATGTAAAACGTGCGAAGATGACGTGAAATTCCATACAGAAAGCACTCGAAAGCTTTGCTTTAAAATTGTGATTATTTGTGACGAGTGCAGACCAACAGACATTTCTTCTTGTCCGAAAATCGGGTTATCGTATGAAATCAATTAGCGATTCAGTTTTGCAATGCGTTGCTTAGGACAAAGAACTTGCAGAGGAAAAATTTTGTGAATTTAATGGTCTGCCTCCTCTTGACGCTCAAAAATCGCACGATGAAATTTAGAACAATATTCATATAGCATCTAAGCAATCGCGGAATTACTTATGAAAGATGCGGTACAAGAGGAATATCTGAGGACGAGTTTAGAACAAGAGATTGAAAATGCTACGGATTTAGGTTTTTTGGGAGACAGGAAGGCAAAAGCATGAATTTTCTTCTTTGTATGGCGTGTGCAGTCTCATTGAGGTATATTCGAAAAAAGTTATCGTAAACATGAAATCTTGGTACTGCAAAGAATGCAAGGTTTGAGCCAAAAAGAAAGACACTGAAGAATATCACGAGTGGGAAATCGAATATCAAAGTAAATGTCAATTAAGTAATGAAGGTTTAGCTGGAAAAATGGAGGTCGACTCCTATTAAAGAAATGTTTCATAGATCACAGAAACAGTACGGAGTAAAGTATACACATTACATTGATGACAGCGATTCGAAGACGTACAAAAGTGTCGTTGAATTTCCAACCGTATGGAGACACTTTGAAAAAGAAAAAAAGAATGCATTGGACACGTCCAGAAACACATGAGTGCTCGATTCCGAAAGTGCAAAAAAAGATCATAAGGGCATTGGAGGAAAAAATAAGTTGACTGCAAAAATGATAGACAAACTTTCGGTATTTTGGTTTAGCTATTCGGCGAAAATTTTTCCACTCAGTGGAAGGAAGGTACGGCGTGGACCACTTTTTATCATTACAGTTCGATAAAAGACAAACTGCAACATCATCTTTGTCCTCAAGTCTCGGATTCTTGGTGCGAGTGGCAATGAGCAAAAAGCCGAATGAATTGTTGGATAGGTACGAGCAAAATTACAATACTTTACCAGAGGTTTTAGATGCAATTCGCCCTAGACGAAGATCTTACTAATGAATCATTATTAAAACGCTGTCTCAGTGGATGTACGCAAAGCACCAACGAAAGTTTTAATAATTTGATCCGGAGAATGGCTCACAAACACGCTAACAGCAGCGCAAAAATCGTGGAAATTGCGACTTTCCTCGCAATTTGCTTATTTAACAAAGGTTTGTCGGCCCTTCTGCGAGTGATGAATACGATGGGAATAACTGTTAGACGAAATGCAGCACAATGTGCTGCATCAACAGATACTCGGCGCTGCGACGAAGCCAGACATCCGAACACAGCACGCGACGCGGGAGGCTCGTATCAGCAGCCGGCTGAGCAAAAATCAAAAAGACGACAAGCACTTTTCCCAGGAGGATTCTCTGTATGCGCCCAGAATAGGTGATTATATGTAAGTCGCAAAAAATTCCCTTTATTATAGTATAAACTTGTTCAGAAACTTTAAACGCGTTTTTTTCGAAACTACGTTTTTAAAGTCGGTACCATAAATATCTCAATAACTACTCAACCGATTTCATCCTCGTATTTCTTTTGTTTGAAAGCTTATAAAATTTTCTAATATTTGACCCATGATTTTTTTATATCTTAATTTTTTATGTTTTTTTACATGCTTAAAAGTAAAATTTATATGTGAAAAATGATACCTTAAGTTTGAATGTCCACTATTTTCTTTTAAATTCGAAATTTTAAAAAGCGTAGGTCAAATACCGATAAATTTAATAAACTTCAAGATGTTGATTTTTTTTATTACAGATCAGCGGCCAAGGATCAATCTATAGTATCGCGATTTAAGCCCGTCGAATATGATCAATTTCGTGGAGCTGTGGGGGGGGGAGGTAAAGGGGAATTGTTTTACTTTGATAAAAATTGATTTTATAAGTCTAAAATATATTTTTTAATATTAAAAAACCTAATCCCAATATACCTTTCCTTTCTTGAAAAAAAAAAAATTAGTGAAAATGAACTATTTTTCAGGCCGAGAAAGGTATATGCCCCCTTAATTTATTATGATAAAAAGTAAATTAAATTACAAAATAAGTTATATTTAGTGTTTAATTAATTTGTATTAAAATCAGAATTTCGTTGAATTTGTTTTTAACGATAAATCTTATTTAAATAAGAAAAATTTTATAATTTGTTTGAATTATTTTTAGAGTT